CCTCTCCAGGCTCACAGAATCCGTGGGCAGCTCAGGGAAGGGATGGCAGGAGAGCAAAGCCCATCCCCAGTGACAGAGGGGGGACACCTGCACAGGGAATTGTGCCTGGCACCATCTTGGGCTTTTCTAATCCCAAGGCAGGGCCTTGAAGCTGCCTTTTGCCTCTGCTGCTAAACCCCGGAGTGGCCATCTGGGCTCGTGCAGCCTCAAAATTTGCCCTAAATAGGCAGATCTGGAGATGCAGGGAGGCTGGGCAGCAGAGTGAAAAGTCTGCACGTAGCATCTCAGAACCAGCTTTTCACCCCAAACTCAGCATCCAGTGTGAGCTTTTCCTCCTGCAGTCCTGCAAAGCTGGGTGCCCTCGCTGTGCCCTAGACCCTGGCAGCCCTGGGCACTGTGCCCTGAACCCCCACGAGCCCGTATCCAAACCCTCCAGGACCTGTCAGAGTTCCTCAGAATAATTAGTGGAGTAATCATTAATATCCTCTTGCAGCCCCCTCCTGCTGCCCCTGTGTTGAACGTGGAGCTGGTTAGATGTGAAACTCCAGCAGTGAAAATCTCCCATCTGTGCCTGTGCCCCACCCAAAGTGCTGCTGGAGCTCGTTTGACTCAAATTCTGCTGTGGGGCATCATCCCAAAGCTGTCCTGCCCTTGCCCATGTGCCAGAGTTAGAGCTGGGGAGCCCAGGGTGGCACTGCCAGAGCCCTGTCCCCAGGCCAGGCTGTCCCCAGAGCTGCTGGCAGCCCCTTCCAGGGCAGTGCTGGTGCTCCGAGGAGCAGGGAGTGACAAAGCTGCCGTGACACAAGAGGTAACACTGATGTTGTGTCTGGGCTTCCACAGCTCCAACTTCCAGCATGTTTCTGCTGTCAATTAGAGTGAACTTTTGCAGGAAGCTGCCAGGCTTAGCCAAGGCCAGAGAAGCTTTTGAGCCATGGGTGATGTTGGGATCTCTTCCCCTCCTCTACCCTCTTCCCATTAGCCTTGTTCCATATTGGTGCCACAGATGGCAGATTTTCACTCCAATTTTGAGACAGAAGGATGTATCAGAGGCTGTTTTTATTTCCACTGAATTGATCTATAACCTCTTGCTGCTTTTTCTCTCTTGCTTTTTAAACCTTCCTGCCACCTCCTGGGTGGGGATCTGCCCAAGTCCATGCTCCCCCACCTCTTCCAAGCGCTGTCTCTCCAACCTTTGTCCTGAGAGCTAACAACCTGCTTCATTAACCTTAGCTAGTTCCTAACCCTAACTAGATGCTAACTTTTCTCTAGCTAATAACCTAACCTCGTAACTAGAAGCTGAGTCTAACTAGAGTCTAATCCCTAACACTATAATGCCTCTGTTCCCTTAGCTCCTTTGAAAAATAAAGGTGAACTCTAATTAGTATCTCTATATTTTTTACCTTCTATCCTGAGAATGGAGGATTGAACCACAGCAGAAGGATGAGCAGGGCTGAAGGATAAGGAGGGAAGGGGTTTTTGGAGATTAAGGCAGAAGATTGGCACGGAGGAGATTTTGACTCCTGTTCTTGTCTCTGCCAGTCTTCCCTCCGTGACCTTGGGCAAGTTGCTTCACTTCTCCCTCAGTTTCCCCGTGAGTAAAGCAGGATCATAACTCTGCTGTTCCTCCCCAGGGGAGAGGAGAGACTGAGGGCTGATATTTGTCATTTAATGTGCTCTGGAGCCCTGGCTGGGAGTGCTGGAGTGGCAGCGGTGTCACCGTGGCAGAGCAGCTCGTGCATCTCTTCCCTAGGGAGAGGCAGCACCTGGCACTGTGGGATCTGCCCCGTTCTCAGGATTGGGGTAAAAAAACACCGATTAAACCCCTTCTGTGATAAGTTCTGAATGCCACTGTGAGCAAAAGGACCTGCCGTGTTTTCAAAGGAAGATGGTTTGGATGCAGCCCCAGGAGCCAGATGGGGGACAGGGGCTTTACCCCGACTGTCACTGCCTCCCACCTGGGAGCCCTGCCCCGGGCTGGGCACTGAGAGACAGCAGGAGGGGCTTCAAATCCAATAACCCAAGGGAGAGGCAGCCAGCAGGGCTCTTGTCTCCTGTCCCAGGTTCCTGTCACCTCTGCCGTGCCCTGACCTGCCTCAGTCCCTGTGCACAGCCCTGGGGGATGGCCAGAGGTCCTGAGCAGGACATCTGTGAGCTCCTCACATCTGTGCCAAGAGCCTAAAGGGGGGAGCCGGGGATTTGCTGGCCAAGGTGGGATCAAACCTGCAGCTTCATGTCCCTGTCCCTGCCTGGGCTAACACAGCCCTGATGCCAACCCTGGCCCCAGGAGTGGGGAAGGTCAATGCAAGGGTCATCATGTGTCCAGTGAGTAGCAGACAGCGATGTCAGCTGAGAGCCTCGGGGGTTCCTTTACATTCCTACAAGAAAATGGAGCCAGTCTGAAGCCTTCTGAAGCCAAGAGCCACGGAGGCTCTGCCAGCAGCCAGCTGGACTGGGCTGCTTCAATGGACACCCCACCTAAAATACCCCAAGCCCTCCTCTGTGTCCTGTAATTCGAGATAGGCCAAGAAGTTTCCTACTGGGAGCTGTCTTCCTTGACTCAGGTCCTTTTCCCACAGGCAGTGCAGGTGTTTGGGGTTTTGCAGTCATGTCACTCATTTTCTTTGTTTTCTTTGCAGAAGGTACACCGATCCGAGGTAAGACACCCCCTCACTCACTCACCCACTCTCCAAACACTTCTCTCCACACAGATCCCGTTTCATTGCCCTCTGCTCAATACAGATTTGTGTTGTCGTTATGTTTTCTCGTCCTGCTTCACCTCTGGGTATTTCTTTTTTTATACGTGTCTTTATTTTATCTATGGTTATAATGTCCTTTTTTGTTTGCTGGGTGCACTTGGTAATACTGATACTGTTATTCTAATAACGTCTCCGGCTGCGCTGCCTCAGATTTATGGCAGAGTTTTAAGAGCTAATCTCTCCAGGACTATGAAGGACTGAAGTTTATCTCGAGCATTAAATGCTATCAAAGCTTGGTAAACACTTAGGACTTTCTCTTGATTGGTGCAAAGTGCTCCCGAGCTGCTGATGGTGATGAGAGTTTTCCAGTCCTTTGCTCAGGCAGATCTGCAGCACTTGCCATCTCAGCGTGCTCATTTGTTTGGTTCCAGAGCCTCTTTCCACTTCCTCCCCACTCTCTTACCCTTAGGTTTCTCTGGGAAAGATCCATGGTAAGTAGCTTCTGCACTGTCCCTTTAATGGAGTCAAAAATTGACCTCAAGCTGAAAGGCAGGAGGAGTTGGGTGTGCACCCCTTGGAAGACTCTGCTTTGGTTTTATCTCCACTGGCACATTTAAAATTCCATAATTCTCTGCTGGTAAAAGCAACAGGAGGTGCTGTAGGTGAGATTTACGTGTTCACACATCATCTCTGCCGGCTCCTGACAAGTGCTGAGCACTCCTCACCCTCTCTGCAGCTCATTTCTGCCATTGCCTTGACCGGCAGGGGTGAGGAGTGGGCAGGGAGGGAGGGCTGGGTCCCCATTCCCTAGGGAAAGCTTCCCACTGCAGTCCTTGCTTCCCTTCCTGCTCTGGAGTGAGGCTCCATCTCCCCTGGGCACTCCTCACACCAGTGATGCTCATGAGGAGCACAGAAAATGTATCTGGAACCGATGGAAACAACCCACAGATTTGTCCAAATTAACAGAAATTTCTGGGAAAACTCACCAGCCAGCTTTCCACCCAAGTGGAGCTCTCCAACAGCAGAGCTGGAGCTGTAATTCCATATGAAATATGCTCAGCTGGGTGCTCAGTGGGAAGCTCCAGCCAGTTGGGGATTTAACTCCTGTCTTGCTGAAATGCCCACGGATTCTTTTGGAATGGATTTTGTTTGGTTTACTGGCCTGGGTGGGTTTTTTTGGGGAGGGGGGGTTTAACTCCCTCTGTTCTGCCTTTGGGGTCTCCCAGGCACAGGGGATGCTGTGGGGAATTGCACTCATGGCCCAGCCTGTCCCAGATCGTGTCCCAGCCCCACATCCCCCCCCCCAGCAGCATCGTTCCCACCCACGCAGGGGAACGTGAGCTCGGTGTCCTCTGTGAACACACTGCTTTTTCCTGCCTGGAAAGGTTGGATCTGCAACCAACAGTGATCTCATTTGCACTCCTCTCACTTAAGATTTTATCAATACTATTACACTGAGCTGGAATTGTTTGGTTTTCATAGTTAGGTGGGGTTTTTTTTTTTTCCAGAGATGGGAGTTAAGAGTCCTACCACATGTGAGCTCTGTCCATATCTGTAGTATAATCATGTACTCCTAATACATAAAACATTTGAGAGCCTGTTGAATAATTTATGTAGTATGTATTTTAGCTGGAGTTTTGCAGGGATGAAGCCTTCTGAGGTAAATGAGGCAATTTTCTTCCATGTAGTTCCATGCTGCATCTCTCTGCATATTTGCTGACAGGAATCTTTAGTTTGGGCTCTGGGTATATTCTTGTAACCTGCAATAATATACAAGTTCAAGAAAAACCTTAATCCTTTTGGCCCAGATGCTGTAAACCATGCAGGCAATTTTGAAGTCCCAATGCAGTATTTACAGGGTTTTCCCTGGGGAATATTTACTATCAGTAAGGTGCTTTTCACAGGGGCTCTTATCTCCCGAAGGCTTCCTGAGGAGCAGGTATTGGGCACAAAACAAAGGCAGCAGTGATAGAATTTCCCCAGGCAGTGGGTGACAAAGCCTTTCACTTTTATGGTCACTGCTTCAAATTGAGCAAGGGAAAGTCAACTGCCTGCTGATGGATTTCTGGGGATCACAGTAATATGGATTATTGAGGCTGATTTCGGGAGTTCTGGTGCAGAACGCCTGCATTGCAGAAGCCACAAAACTTGGTGCTTTTGCTGATGAGTTCAGGCCAAAGAACAACACTGACTAGAGAGGGGGGGATTCGATTTTTCTCGTGCTGTCGGGTCCGTGCGCAGGCACAGCCGGGACCGGGCTCCGCAGAGGCTCCGTGCCCCGCTCCGGGGGTGCCTGAGCCCGGGGGGCTCCCGGCCTGCCTGCCCAGCCAGCAGAGCGGTGACCATGTGTCTGTGCTGCCGTCTCTTCTCCCCTCACAGGTGGGCTGCAGATCGAGAGCAGCGAGGAGACGGACCAGGGCAAGTACGAGTGCGTGGCCAGCAACAGCGCCGGGGTGCGCTACTCGTCCCCCGCTAACCTTTACGTGAGAGGTAGGGAGCACAACAGCTCAGCGGCACCCAGACCCTCCCCATCCCACCCTTCCCGAGGGAGCAGAGGGGGCTCAGCATCCCCCGGACCCTTCCCGAGGGAG